AAAAAATAAAGAAAATAAAAAAAAATCAAAGCTCTTTGTTAAAATTATTTTTTTCGCTACACCATATGGGAAAAAAAGAGATTATTTTTAATAATGTGTCTTTGTTTAATGCCAAAGACTTCTGCAAATATGTAGGCATTTTAGCAAGACAGCTTCTCACACTGGTGGCGAACTGATGTGACTCACCTCAGCAATCGCATTTTGGACGGCCTCATTATTTATTATATGGTTACATAAACACACAACTTTTGGTTATGGTGATCTCACAACTGACATTGGCAGTATGTCTAATTTGGGTAACTGAAGAAAAGGTTTACTGATCGGATGACTACACTGACACAGTTTATTTGCAGAATCTCATAACAGCAACTGGGCTATTAACAAATGACAGCAATTTATTAGCTGTTTACTTTGGCTGTTAACAATCCCAAATTTCTTGCATATCGATGTAGCGTTGTTGACTGATTTGGTCAGTTGTCAGCAACTAGTCGATCTGTTATCCATAAAAAGTATTTTCCTGATTACAGCGATGTTTTCAGTGATTCGTGTTCATTCCATAGAATTTATTTCAAAATCTTTCTTTTTTCTTTTCCTCATTTGCTACAGAAAACAAAAGCACATATTTGTGTCAACAAAATATTAAATGTTACAGAGAAGATGAAAAAAAAAATGAAGATAAGAAAAAAGATGGTAGGAAAAAATTTGATTTATAAAATATTATCTACGTTCAAAAAAAAGAAAAAGGAAAAGACTTTTGTTCATATTTCTTCTTCACAAAGGTTCTTTTTTTCATTTGTCTTATTTTAATGATTACTTCACATTTACATACAAACTGTTTACATTAGTAAACCGTCTAATCCACTCTTTGATTAAATTTCTTGCCACAAACAAAAAACAGAAAAAAATGGGAAAAAAAAAAGAAATTGATGATAAACAATACTGTCAAAAAGATAATCAAAAAAGAAAACTGATTTTTCAACAAATCAACTGATTAAATGCAATTCCTGAAATCAGTAAATTTAAAACTACCCGAAACAATAAATATTATTCAATATCTTCTTAAATTCGTTTGTTTTTTTTTCAATGTTTTATTGGAACTTTTTTTTTTCTTTTTTTGCAGCAAAATGACAAACAGTATCGAGTAGTTTTGTAAACAAAATAATTTTTTTTGGAAACAACAAACAGATTCAATGATTACAATGTGGAGAAAGGAGGAGGAAAAAAAAAACAGAAAACAAAATGAGAATGAAGAATGAAAGAAATACAACTAAATTTGTAGCATTAGATACAGCAGATGCGGAGTTGTTGCCAGCAACAGCATCAATAACGATCAGAAGAAGGAAAAAAATTTTATGATCACGGGATGATGCCCAATGCTCGTAATTCTTCCTGCTGTTTTTGCAGTAATGTTTCATTGGCTTCCAGGCGAGCTCGTCGTTTTTCTGCCAATGTTACATTGTTCCTTAAATGGATGTATACTGATTACGGCCAACAATACAACACTGGTTTACATAAGAAAAAGGAAAGGTAAGAAAATTGATAGAAAGAAATGCAACAAAGATTGTAGAAGGAAGAAGCGAAGAAAAAGGGAAAACAAGCAAAAGACGATACAAAAAAAAAAGGAAAGGAAAACAACAGTACTTCGGGGTAAATGTACGAGAAGAAAAGTGCTGAAATGGGATAAAGTGAAATATGCGAAAAACGAATAAGACGACAACGATGATGAAAATAAAACAGAAAAAAGTTCAAACTAGTCCAATCTCAAACGCTAACTTTTAAACTTACATAAATGTGATAAATTTAGTGTCAATCATCCGTCAGCAAAAAAAAAAATTCAATTATTCCAAATAGTTTGTTTTTTTTTTTTCTTATAAAGTTTTTTTTTCTCTCAAAATTGTAACTGTACTGGGGATTTTTAACCCAAACTTCATCTTTTTTTTTCCTTTTTTTTTTGCTCTTCATTCTTAAGTACCTAAATGTATAGGATCTAGTGACAGTTAACTGTTAGCAGAAAGGCTCCTTGATACAGCTTTAAATTGCAACAAAAAAGCAAAGCAACAAATGAAGTGTCGATTTGAGAGTGTCGAAGACCTAAAAACTAAAAAAAACCTCGATGATGATGACGTTGCAGATTAGTTGTAAGTATCAGATAAATATAGTTGTTCAAACGTACCAACATCACCATCACTACGATTTCAACAAACCAAAAATACTAACACTCTTAGATCTAAAATTACCAATTTTTTTTTGTTGTTGTTGTTGTCATTCTTCAGTTATTTTAACCAAAATTAACTTAAAAAAACTTCTTTCGCTGTTTTTTCCTTAACAATCTTTTGTTGTTTTGCTGCAGCCGAAAAAGCTGCGTTTTACTGGTTTGAAAACAACTCTTGTCTTTTTCTGCCTTCTGTTACTCAATGTTTATTCTGACCGGTTTGAAACTGCCACAATGTATCAGGGCAGAAGTTGAAGACGACTAGATAAAGCTGAAGTAAATTAAAAGAGGAAAAAAATTATGAAACCAGAAAGAACATAAACAAATAAAAACAGGAAGAAAACATAAAAAAGTAAGAAAAAAACGAAGAAAAGAGAACAAAAGAAAAGAGAAGAAACGAAAAATAAGTAAATTAAAAAGTAAAAGAAAGAAGATACTTATTGAAGTCGTCGCGATGCCTTATTTGCGGTGAATAAATTTTACGTTGATTGTCTTTCTGCTGCGCATAAATATCAGTGCTGTTTAGCAGAGACTAAAAAAACAATATTTCTATCTTGATGGTTTAACCAAAACTTTTTTCTATCTTCGTTGTTTGTACATATATACGCATTATATATATGTATAATTTGCTCTTATCTTCAATATATCTGTTAACACTGTTTTATCATGAATTCCGAATGATTTTTGAAAAAACAACAACAAGAAAGAAGAAGCAGTAAGGAAGAAAATATTGCCGTTTTCCTCAATTCCACTTAGTTTTGTGAAAAAAAAATGCGCTAAAGAAAAGTGCGTTTAGTCTGTTGTCAGTTGTTCTTATTTCTCAATATAATTCAAAAAAAAAAAAAAATTTTTTTTTTTTACTTTTAAACTGAGATCGTTCAACATAAAATTTGTTCATTTTTAAAAATAGTTTTTTTTCCTTCTTTTATCTTCTTCTTTTTATCTTTTTTCTTTTCGTTTCCGCTGTCAAGACAGTTTTACACACATGAAGAAATTATTAAACTAAACAGTGAATTACAGAATCAACATACACCCATTAATGATGCTTAATCATTTGATTATGGTTTCTATACTGCTCACTGACAGCAGACACTTTATGACAGAAAATTGAGCAAAAAACTTCTCTTTTGACAATTAAAAAACGAAACAACAAAAAAAAGTATTTTATCAGCTTTAAAGGGTTTTTAATTTTTGCCGGCTATACTCTTTTCTAACAGATTATTGTATTGCTTCCACAAAAATATATTGATAAAATTATTCTTGAATTGAGATTTATTTGTTCCAATTTCTTTCTTCTCTCGTCGTCGATAATTTAGTACTTTAATAAAATATCACTTGATTGCAATTGCTTAGTGTGTAAGTTTCAGGGCAAAAAGAAAAACCTCATCTAAACGATATGTGTTCAGAAGATTTTCAAGAAAATTTGAAAAGAAAAAATCATGAAAACAGCTGATATATACCTTGTCTAAAGATGCCCTTGGTTTTGGTATTCCAGGAAGTTTTCGTTGAATAATTGGTGTGTTAACCGGTGAAGATTTCTTCGCAAATTTTTCTGCCCGTAATTCGTCGATTTTTGATGAACTAAATAAACCAAATTTGCGAAAAAAAA